GTGTGTGTGTGTGTGTGTGTGTGTGTGTGGGTGGGTGACTGCAGCCCCAGCACACAGGGATCGGCGTCACGTCGCATGCTTTGAATTACTGTACATTTGCGGCTGGTAGACAGGCTGCTGCCAACTGTCTCTCAGTGGATCAGACAGCTAACATCAGCACTGTGGGTTCTGCCACGAGTCTCTCTTTAATTCCCACTCAGTGTCTTTTTCCAACACTCTTTCTCTGTCTTGGAATTCTTTCACCACCGTCTCTCTCTCTCTCTCTCTCTCTTCTCACACACACACACACACACATATACGGACACGGCTCGCTGTCTCTGTTTTTTAATCATCTCCACTCACTCAAATGTATCTGTTTTATTATTTATCCATGCCATTTTCTCTCCTAACTCACACAGTATATACAACAGCGTGCAGACACTGACACCCACACACATTCCTGTATGCAACTTACACAAACACACAGATTTGTCGGTCTGTTTACACAGTTCACTGGGCAGCTAATCTTTATGGAACTGCTGACTGAAGCCTGTCTTTTGTCCAAAAACGCTTTAAAAAAACAGTCAGGTGACTAATCAGGCCACATTACAACAGCAGCTAGATCGCTGCCTTAAACTGCACGGCCCCTCCTGTGAATCCTACCCAGGTGGTGCCAGGGAAAGTACTGATGACATCACCACATGGGTTTCAACAAAGACAAGCATTCCTCACTCAGTCATAATCCACTGTGTTAATATGCAGCCCGACTTCAACCAGACAAAACCAGTCAAGAAGCTTTTCTCTCACGCCTCTCGCTCCCTCCCTGCGCCTCTCTCTCTATCTCTCTCTCATCAGCCACACTTTTAACTCTTTTTTCTTTTTAGCTCACCAGCAAACACCTTCAAGGCCTTAATACAGATCCACCGACTGTGTGTGTTTAGGAAGTGTGAGCTGATTTGACAATAAGACACTTGACAATATATTTCCAGCATATTTTGCCAGGAACTCCCACGCCTTGTCTTCTGCTGTTGTCAAATGACTTAAGGAACTTGTCATGAGCTGATTTTATTTTTCCATTGGTACTAAGAGGTCATTGTTTTAAAGATACACAAAGGTAGTCTTCACAAGCCTTTTTGAAAAATCAACCAATTTCAAGGATTTCCTGGAATTGTGTAACTTCTTTTTGTTGCTATGTTCTGCTTTAGTCAGTCGTTTTTCCAAAACTCAATTTTCGCAGCCGAAAATGAACTCTAATTCTTAAAGGCAGAATACAAGTAGAAGAATTGTTACAAACGCTGTTTATTGAAGCTTATATAAGAAATTGAGTTGTAAGCCTTGTTAGCATGATCAGTGTTCGAGTGTTTATGGGCCAACAACAGTGTTATAAACTACATTCCTTCCCTTTTAATAACTAATTGTCTGGTCACTTAGGGGCAGCTGTAAATATAGCATGGACATATTATCACCCTTTCAGTTGATATGACATTTGGAGTTTGTGGCCACCTGGCAAATGTAGGTCTATTTATTCTCTTTTAGCTCTGATTTTGGACTCCACATGGACATATCTGTCTCTTTAGCTGCATATGGCCCACTGTGTTCACCAGCTGGTGACTAACTTGGTGGTCTGCTACTTGCTACGGAAATTTTGGTCTGCCATGAAGTTTGGTGGAAGACATTAAAGGAGCTTTATGTAAGAATTTTTGTTTAAAGTTTGATAGCTTATAAAAGTAGCTAATTGTGTAACGTTACTGACAATGTTAATGTGTTTGCTGAGTTAGCTGTTTGTTGAAAGAAAGAAATACTCATGGGAGGGACTAATGATAGTTGGCAGACACCCCAACTTTCTGGTGATATGTTGTCCCCAATAAGTTTGCAGTATGAATTTGACAGGTGATCAATTCTTACATAAAGCTCATAGCTTAGCTTATACTAACTTTTCATCTAGCGTCACCATCAGGCTTAATTTGTCCAATACTTTGTTCAGTGACCTGCAAAACTTGACATTCCCTTCAGCCCCAGTTGGACTCTGAATTTAGTGCTTTAACACGCTAAACTAAGATGGTGAACATGGGAAACGTTAGACCTTTTAAGCATCAGAGTGTTAACATTGTATTTGTGAGTGCAAGCATGGCTGTAGACTCTTCAGAAAAACAGCTGCTTGAGCGTGAGCGGAGCAAAATAGTAAACCTTCAGGCTGTAAAATCAAAACACCGAGCTAAAGGAAGCTAAAACGCTCCATAGAGATGAGAGAAACTGCCGAGTCAGGTGATAATTCTCTGTGAGGAGTCTGTGATTACAAGAGACCCTGTTCACATACAAGCAATCATATGACCCATTGTTAATAGAAAAATATTGATTATAGCTGCTTTATGTGAAATCCATTTGTTGGAGTATGTGTAATTTATAATGTCGATGTGTAATCACTCTACTTGTGTGTCTGTTTGCGTGAGAAGGAGTGCACTGGATGAATGTCATGCTCCAATCTTTCACACAGATGAAATACAAACAACATCATCAACTTCTGTGTCAGGCTACGGCCCCTCATCTCAGCACATTCACACTGTGACCTTTCACCCTTGACTGTAAACATGCAGTTATGACCCTCTGGCTGTTGTTGTTGTTGATATTATTGAGATCTCTAACAGACACTGATGTCCAGATGGGTGCAATCACATTAGCCCCTTCTACAAATATTAATAATTCTTTTAAATCCATCAGATGTTGGGAGCATAAATGCCACAGATAACTAAGTTTGATGTCCCAACATATCTCATCTAAAATAAAGATGACGTGGGGCTGCTGTCCTTGTCATGTCCCCGCAGTTCAAGGAATGTGGACCAATTCTTTCCTGCCCTGTTTTTGTCACTGCTCTGTATTTCTTATTTATTTTTATAACAAAATCTAATCAAAATCAGTTACGGGAAGTACGCAGTGCGGTGAAAAATAAAGATTGATTTATAAAGATTTTTTTGTGTTTTGTGGACACAAATAATGCAAAACAAGAAAATAATTTTACATTACATTTAGTTTTTCAGCTCCTTGCCATTGTTTTTTCTTTACTTTTCCAACCTTCCTAAACAGCAAGTGAAACAATACCCAGCAGGCGTCACAAGATTAGTTACTGACGCTCAGGAAGGTTTCCCTTCCCTTTATTTTTTCTGCCTTTTCCTCCACGGGTCACTTCTATGAACAACTCTCCCACTCACCACCATCTGCCGTACACACACCTACACACACAAATATACAAACATGCATACGAGCATCACAGTGCTCCCACACAGGATATGCAAATGACTCTTGAGCTACACAGCATTTAGCAACTAACTTCCTTCATTGGTAAAGTCATCTCATTCTCCCTCACATTATGCAGAATTTTCTGAGCTATTTGTTGTTGTACAAGTCTACTATCTGAGCTAATCAACCCAGTGGCCGTAAATACTGACTTGCTCAGGATAAGCCTGCAAATAACTCAGTCATACACTTCCTGTTTTTGAGCACGTAGTCGGTGACCTCAGGAGGAGGAGCACAGGATGTGCTCCAAGTGAAAGATACAGATAGAGATTTCCTAGATAGTTTTAATTGAAACACATGTTTAACTTTGGCAGGAGGGGATGGGATGCATCTGTGTGCAACTGGATGAGTGTTGTGTTGTTTGTTCCAGATGAAATAACTGGGTGTAACGCCTGATCCCCTTCTTCCACTGCGAACAACATTATTTCTTTAATATTCGTGTTATTTACTCCTCTTCTAAGCTCCAATGACACTGATAATTAGTCTTTCTCTGTCATTTTTTTCCCCTTTTTGGAACTTAAAGTGTGATTACATTGGTCGCATTCAGCAGTATACTGTGAGTAAACAACAAAGTCGTGTGAGAATTGTCACGTCGGTATTTTTCTTCAAATGTTTATCTGGTCAACAGATGTCATCTGTGGTATTCAAATACTCTATAATAACCAGCATCTCTGATGTGATCTGATCACACAGTTTTCATCAACATTATACTCACCCAGGCATTTTGCCATACTAACTGACGCACTATAATTATAATACTGTAACTTCCCTTGTGGTCCACAGCCCTCACTTCGGTCACAAGATATTTAACTATCGTAATGTTTCATAACACAGTTTTTTTTATTTTGTGGACTTGGGAATGGGAAGTGAGACATACGCCAGACAGCATTTACTCTAAATGTGTCTAGAAATTGCTCAATCCGTCTGTCATCACCAAACTGACTTGTGGCAGGCCTGAGATTTATTTATACTAGCTGTTTGGCTCTGTTTGTTTATTTGTTTGTTTGTTTTGTAAATGACCCTGGCTTGGTATAGCGGTAGGTTTGCCCAAATATCTTCCGCTTTTTCCTCCCTAGGCAGACAGGCTTTAGACCACAGACCCACTTTAGATAAGATTTTGTCAGCAGGAACCACATTTGAGAGGATGTTTGTTGTTTGATGTAGCTTAATACAAACAGAGGATTAATGTTATGTTGTAATTAAATAGTAGTTGACTTCCTCTTAGACTGCAGAACTCCTAACCGAGTGTGTTGAAAACAGTTGTTCCTGTTCTCACAGTCAAATTAAAACTATTCCTCAGTGTGATTAAGACCCATAAAGTGTCTCCACTTGGGAATCCACTGGTCTGGAGTGTGTATTTGAACCAAAGGTCACACTCTGGTGCTTCAACTTGCTGCACATGGGTTAATTATTACTAGTGAGTTACATATTACATATGCTAGTTAATGGCTGTAATGGTTGGAGTGATTTACTAATGAGCAAATGTAAGATCAAAGCATTGAGATCAAATTCCGTTTAAAGCATAAACTTGTTTCATTTTATATAAATCTGCAGGTTTCACTTGTTAAAAAGTTGCACACAAATATATTAAAAACTTGCATTTGCGCCTAAAGTTGCTTGAATTAATATTCCAAGAGAAGCGTTGTGATTGGCTCCTGGCCGCCATGACGTCACACTTAGCTGTGAGGCAAACAAACAAAAAAAATCCTCGGACGGTCTCCCTCTCTCTCCCTCTCTCTCCCTCCCTCTCTCTCTCTCTCTCTCTCTGCCTCCACAGAAAAAGCCCGTAAAGGCTTGACAGTGACAAGAGTAGACTCATGAAAGAAACCTCACGACGGATAGTTTTAAAGCTGGACTTTGAGTGGGGCCGTTTTCCCTTTTCCCGACTATAAGTGTGTGTGTGTGTGTTTTTCAAGAGGCTTTTAACACTGGTGGTTCGTAACGCGAAATCCAAGTCGCCGGGATTTCCTCTCATCTCGAAGTTCCCAAGATGAACTTCGGTCCGGTGCTCGGGAAACTTTCTGTAAGTAAAACACGACAGTAACTTAACTTATTTGAATGTATATCACTCAATTTGACTAATAGTTGACTAACTATTTGTGTTGCCTTTTATTAAACTGCTAATGATGGTTAAAATGTGCCAGTAACGTCGGCTCTTCCCTTGTCCGCGACGCTACAGCGGGGCAGTGAAGTAGCAGCGATACAAAGTAACAAGTTGATTCAAAGTGTCGCCGGGATAGTTTTTTATAGACTTAAAAAACACATTTAAAAACACATTTAAGTTAAAGACTTAAACCTTTATAAAGCTTTCAACTCTTTTTTTGGGGGGAAGCTGTGCTGTGTGACATTGTGGGTGTGGGGAGGGGGGGCAGAAATCACGGCCAGGCCCTGTGAACTTGCAGGAGATGAAACAAGCCAAGGTTCATTGTCCCGCAAGAGCTCACACACAACAGGAAGCAACAAAAAATGTGTTTGTTGTTGTTGATTTAAGTGTTTATTTGCAGATAAAATGCACTCATCTGAAGGCAGCCCCTGTTTTTATTCTGTGCTCAGTATAGTACATGTGCTGTATCATTCACTAAACCCCCCCCTCTCAACATTACAACCACCATCTGTGTTGGACATCATGTGGTCATATTGTTCAGACATTCAGTATATGATGGCTCTCGGTCTGTCACAGCGGATGTAGCTGGCAGTATAGGCGCTATTAATAAGTGCAGGGCAGCTATGGCCTGCTGTGAAGTGCACTCCTGCTCTTGAATCAAATAGTGTGTGAGGAGAGGCATGAGGTTTTTTTTTTTTAGCGAGCATGTCTGAAGGTATAATCAGTTTAGAGCTCCCCCCCCACCACCACCACCACCCAAAAAAAGCCAAGAATTCACCTTGCCAGTTAGTCAATTAAAGCCGCAAAGTCACTCAACAGTTTTTCCACCAAAGTTTATTCCACTCAGACCTTCACAGAGACGTCTTTTCATTCCTCACTGTTGTTTTTTCCAGCTGTGCAGCACCAAAGACTGACACTAAAAATGCTCCATGTTCCCTGCGACGCCATAAAGTGTAACCAATTCATGAATGGTTCTTTGGAATAATGCAAAATATGTGAATGATTTTTTTTTTTTAATGTAGGACACATAATGTACACAAATTCACAAAGGGGTTCGCTTCCCCATGTGTTTCCTTTCGTGGTTTACATTGCAGTACGAGATAAGAAGCAGAAGATGAATCAGAGGATCGTAATGACAGGGCAAATCAAGGTTTGGCTGCCCTTTGTGGTTAATAAAGGCCAATTAAATGAAGAGTGTTACTCACAGTATTGTGGCATTTGATCAAAGATGCCTACTGTAGCTCTGCTTACCATAAATGTAGCTGTTTAAGTAAATGTAACATCTGCTGATGTGCCTGGAGCTCTATTGTTTGTTTTCTGCGATGTCTGATCTGTGTTCTAAGTCATGCAGTCTTCCATTACTGAAATCAGATTTACTTCAACGGGTGGCAAAGTCAATGTTTATCTCTTCTGTAAACCACAGTACATTCTGGAGGCCGCGCCAGCAGGCCTTGTTGCTAAGGGACTATGAGGAAACTTCAACCCCCCACTCTCCACTCCCATTCCCCCTTCACTAATCCCCCCCTACACACACACACACCCCTTCAAATTGCCTGAGTGTACGTGCCTGGCCCTCCAGTAAACTTCCTGTCTAGAGTACACAGATATGCTGATATTAGTGGCATCAATTTACTTCTGAGAATTGTCATGCCCATGCAAATGTACACAAGATAGTTATCTGTGATTGCTTACGGAGTGTCTGGGTGTTGGTTCACACAGGAAATATCCCTCTGTGTCTCTGTGGACAACACAGACAAGGGCAGGACTGACATTTGGGACAAGTGGAGGCCAGACTGTGTCGCTGGGGACTGAGCAGTGGTCAACAAATTGGCCACTCTAGAGTTCTTAATACTGTAACTGTTGCTTATTGCTGCTCTACATGGTGACCATGTGAACAGCTATAACCGGGCCTGTGCCTTCGAGGAGCTAAATGGACTCTGAATGATGCAATGGGATGCAACCAACTCTCTGTCAGATACCAGGTGGTTGTGTGCCTCTTTATGTTTGCCTGTCACAGTTTCCACCCAGGTATTTGTTCTAGTGAACCGGCATAGTGTGTGATGTTTTATCGCTTTTTTTTTTTTTTTATAAACCTGTTGTCGTTGTTGTTGATGTGAATCATTCCACTTATCAAAGAGCTGCTGCTGACTCACTTAGGGAGTGCCACCTGTTCAGGTGTAGCCCGCTCACATGGTGCATACCAACAGGGGCAAGTCAGAGCTCACCCTTGAATGGTCCTGCGTTGAGATAAGTGCTGATAATTTAGTGTGTGTCAAAGATCACTGGGTAGACGGATTAACTTCACCCAGCTTCACTCTTATACGTGTTTTTTTTTTTTTTTTTTTAGACCCGAGTAGCTATAAACTAATTCCATATCACACACAGTGTCAGGAATTTGCTAAGTACTTTGAGGTGCAATACTCTCCCACATAAAGTCCCATGCATACAGAAGTCAGCTGATGGGTCAAATCACATGAGTTAGATGTTCACTGTCCTCTTTGAGGACATTACACTAGGAATGGACAGTGATTGCCAAAGGGTGCAAAGCTAATCTCAACTTCTCTTTTCTTTACGCTATTTCTTTCTTTTTATATATTTGACCTATTTTACATTGTTGTAAGATGCTGAAGGTGGTAGCTGTTTTGTCATCTGGGGTGCATTATGTATGTAATACATATTTGATAGCATTTCATAGTATATTTAAACAACAGCAAATCATGAAGTAGAAGGAAATCACTGTTACAAAGCTCTTAGCTCTTCAACTATTTCAATAATTCATTAAATGTTTCAGTCATTTTTTAACATTCTCTGGTCACAGCTACTACGGGATATGTTGCTTTTCATCGCTGTATACAGAATATCTTTGAGTTTTGCACAACTGATTGGAGATAAGACGCATGATTCATCAACTTGTGAGAAATTGTGCTAAAGTTTGGACATGTAATAGATCAAATGATTGATTGATTGATTGATAAGAACTGTTAGTTGCAGCCCTACTACTGTGTTTAATCAAGCGAAAATCAAGAAGAGGGGAATCACCGTTAGAATATGACACAGCAGCAAAGTGTGTATTTCAGTCACCAATTAGTCAATTGACTGAAAATGGTAAACTATTTAAATAACTGACTCATGGCTTGAATCACTTTTCAAGCAAAAGCTTCTAAATTGTGAATCGTAATTTACTTTGTTTCTTTGTTTTATGTGATCATAAACTGAAAATCTTTGGTTGAGCAAAAAATTGGCCATTTTTCATTTTTCTTTCTAGACCAAACAATTAATTGAGAAAGTAATCAGCAGATTAGCTGATAATGAAAATGATTGTTAGTTACAGCCCTATATTTCATACATAAGAGCTGGAAAATGTTGCACTGACTGTATGAGGGCTGATTCTTTTTATTAGCAATTCATCTGCAGATTATTTTCAATTATCAATTAAAGTGCCCTTCCCAATTTGCCAAAGCCCAAGTTAACATATTCAAATAGATTGTTTTGTGTAGCCAAGAACATTCAAAAGCCAAAAATCTTCAATTTCTGCTGATAGAAGACATAAAAATAGCACATATTCACATTTGAGAAGTAGAAATCTGTGACGTTTCTGTAATAAATTGGATTATTCATCGTTTTTCAGCATAGTTGCTGATGAATGTTCGGCCGACTAGTTGATTAACTGCCTGATCTTTAAGCCCTACACTGTTGTCAGGATACAATAGAAATACAGTGGCACTTCAGATGCATGACACAAAACGAAACCAGAGTGACATAAGGTTTGCATCAGTGCTATATCCTCTGACTTCCTGCTCTCCTGAATGAAGTGTTGAGTCTTAGAACAAACTCAACCTTTGTCCAGAAAATGGACCTCTGTTTACAAAGACATAAATCCGACATAAATTCCAGCTATTGATGGTCACTTAAGTCCCTGTTGCTCTGCTACACCAGCCACATATTCTACATTTTTGCTGTGATATGTTTATAGAGAAGGCTATAAACTGCCAGTGCTTCATGGCCTTCTTTTTTTCCTTTTACACAAAGACAAGCTTTAATGGAGCTAATGTGATTGTCTCTAGAGCGAGGTGATGGATTCCTGCACATACTTTAATCTATTAGTCATCCTTTCTTCATCTTTTCATTCTGTCCCTCCTGGAGTTGTCTTGTGAGTTGCCTCTCAGCGTCACTGCGAAGGGCCTAATCACAATTTGAAATGGCTAAGTTAATTGCCCTCCTGCACTCAAACCTCTGAATTTAATTTGTGGATTGCCGTTCAAATCCAAGGTCCTCGCCCGTCCCTCAGTAACATGCTATATGACTCACAGTGATGTTGTGTGCATGCAGAGCAGGCAACTCTTAGAAACCGCAGAGTACTCACAACCCCAACAAATCAGAAAAAGTGTGTCACACTGCACCTGCTTACATTTCTTGAACTTTCAGCTGCCCTCTCTCTTTCAATCATCAAAACAATAAACCCGTTTTCATGTGGTCAACATCAACGTCACGAGTGTCATGTCACAAACTTGTGGTTGCGGATTGACTGCCAGGAAATACATTAAAACTGTCGTCATCGCAGATTTGTTTTCTCTGGTATTAAGGTGAATGTCACCTAACCTGCTTGTGACACTCGTCTAATCAGTGAAGCATACCTCCTGAGGAAACTCAAGAATTTGTGTCGTGGAGCTGCAGCTTCCCTCAGTTATAAATATCCAGCCTAACGGATATGTTGTGGGTCTAATCGGGTGCTGGGCCTGCTCAGAGGCAGGCTGCTGTGGAGGGAACAGTTTGGAGCTGAACCCTGCATGAAGCCTCTGTATTGTCTTGAGCTTCCTGTGCTCCCTGAGAGGAGGGGGCTGCCGCTTTTCACACGCTCCCACACATACACTGTAGGCGTGCTTGCGCACTCTATTGTGTGCCTATGCCCGTGTGTCTTCTTCAGTGTGTGTGCGCAGTTTTTGTGGCTCAACAATGTGGCTTTCACACCAACTGCTTCAAATTGACACGGGAGTCGTTCTCTTCATTTTATATCATTTAGCTTTATAGTGATGAATGTGTCCGAGCTTGGCTGAACTTTGGATTTATTTACAGCGCTGTAGCAAGTGTCAGACAGCTTTCACTTGACATAAGCTGGGTTGTACTTCATCTTCTAACACAGAATGTCAGTCTAATTTATCACTCAAGGAAAGTTGTGCATGGTCACCCCGTCTCTGGGGAATACTTTATCTATAAAGCAGAGAGCATTCACTGTACTGTCTAGGTCAGCCTCGGGGGGATTTAAAAGTACAATACCCAACTGTTCCAGTAAGATTACACAAATAGTTACTGAAAAGACTGCAGGGTATAGATCACATTAAAGTCTCATTCAAGACATTGTAAATAATAAGTTGGTGTATGTTGGTTAAATTAGAATAATGTTAAAAACGAATGCCAAAGTAATATTGCACATTGGGTTTGCACCAATAAAATAATGATATTATAAAAGATATCTTGTGTTGCAGGACAGTGTTTCTGTTATATTTGGTATTTTCCAGTTAACTTTGTGTTCAGATTTCACTTTATCAGTTGTGTTAGGTCAAAGAGACATCTGAATTCTACGTAACATCATAAATTGGGACTTATTTATTCAACTAGACAAAACAATTAGACCATTAGTCACAGTTAGACAAGACAATTGAGCAGTTATGGGAAGGTAATGGTAAATACCGTAAAAACCTTGACCTGTGCAAATGTTTGGCCTTGTAGTCCAGTCAATCAGAACGCAGATAATTAGCTGCAATAGAGAACAAAGGATTAATCAATTAATCGATTAGTCGGTCAGAAAAAGTGCCACACAGGCTCCGGTTCCAACATCTAAAATGTGAGGGTTTGCTGCTTTTATTTGTCATATAGCATAGTAAACTAAGTAGCTTTGGGTTTTGGGCTTTTAGTTGCACAAAAAAAATAATTTGAAGGTTCTAGGAAGGAATTTTCTAAATATTTTTTCACATCAAATAGACAAAACAATTAACCAATTAATTGAAAAAAATAATAGGTGTATTCGTCATTAATGAAACACCAGGAATTGGGAATTATTTATTCAATTAGACAAGAAAACGGTGACAATTAAACAAGACCACTGAGCAGTTCTCATTCGGTAATTATGTTATTTTGTGGCTCTGAAAAGTTCAGTCAAGCAGAAAATAGATATTAGACTAACTGTGCAACACACCAACTTGCTGTTAACTGACTGAGAGACGATCACTGAGGATTTCACTGTTTAAACTCTGACATCAGTTGTGGTTATAACCCATGGCAGCTGTAATGTAGATACTATTACGTCCGTCGGTATGAGATGGTGGGGGATGTTTCTCCTCTTTGTGGTTGTGGAGGCAAATGAAGACTGAGCTGTAGTAAGGTCAGAAGAACACGCAGGTTGTTGACATTTGAACTGAAGTAAACATTTCATATCTGAGTCATTTATTTAAATCAGCAGCCGTGACAAAAAACAGTTTGAGTCCTTATGCAGTCCAATGCAATCCCTGCAATCGGTGTTTCCTCTACAGGAGCTCTTTTCTTCTCTGTCATGTTGTTTGAAAGCATGGGTGTACAATATCGGAGCTATCACAAATGTCCCATAATTGATTAAAGAAAAGGATTGGCTAATAAGAAAAGCATGATATGGAGAGTCAGGTCCTACTCCGGATACAGGAGTATAATGAGGTACATCACGTCTTTCCTTATCAGTTAGCTATGATTGAAATCATCTGTCCAATATGAAATGAAGAATCTCTCTTGGTGTGTGTGTGTTGTGTGTGTTGTGTGTGTTGTGTGTGTTGTGTGTGTTGTGTGTGCTGTGTGTGCTGTGTATGTGCAAGAGTTCATCACATTTTCTGTTTTCTGTTTCCTCCCTTTATTTTTATAATAGAGCTCACTGTAATCCCCTCAGGGATAAGGAGTGATCACAGCCCTCTAAATGGCCCATTGATAACCTAGGTCAACTGAAAGGATGTCCTGTCATTTAGTCACAAATGCATTCTCAGTGTACATGGCATGTGTAGAGATTGTGCCAAGGCAATTTGGAAGAACCCAGGGTGTTTAGAGGAAGTGGAGGGGAGCTACTGTTGTCACATAAACAGAGGGTCCCTCATTATTTTATTGTAACTTTTATTAGTTTAACTTGCATAGTACTAACCTACCAAAGCATGACAATCGGACACTGTTTTAACAAATAGTCTGCGGCCAAGTCCACTCATTGCGCAGAGGATAGAGAGGACTGTGAAGTGGACTGAACCACTTCAGCCCAGGGTTGGAGAGTTTCCAGGGATTGTGGGTTTGGAGGGCTTTCTACACTGAGGTTACGGTCACTCCAGTCTTCCTCCTCGCTTGGTTATAGAGGTAAAACTAAGCCACATTGTGGCTGCCCGTAGTGTTTATGTGTACATTTATGCCTATGTAGTTTAGCAGCCTTAGGGCATTAGTGTGGACACATGTTGATGGTGTTGTCAGTTTTCCTTGTCTGCACGCAGGCTGTGTTAGAGACATACCGAAGTTACTGAACTGTGTTTATTACAAAATAAAAGCTGTGAGATTGTTTTTTAATTCCCACATGCAGAAGTGATTATGCAGTAGTATGATTCTGCCATCCTATAAAATCCAATCCCTCTTTAAACAATTCTCAGTAACAATAACAAATTCTGCAGTTTGTTCTCTTTAGAGCTGAAACAATCACTCAAATGAATCGTCACTTATTTTAAAAATAGATTAAGTCATTTCCAAAAAAGCGAAATATTACCGAGCAGCAGCTTCTTTAATATGAGGACTGGCTGCTTTTATATCACTGTAAGCTGTATGTTTTTGAGTTTTTGGACTGTTCTTTGGAAAAAACTAGACATTTGAAGACGTCACCTTGGGGTCAGGGAAATAGTCGCGGGTATTTTACACCATTTTCTCACGTTTTACAGACCAAAGGATTAACTGAGGAAATAATCAGCAGTATAATAATAGATGGTTGCAGCCCTTCTTCTCTTTATGGATCTTCTGTGTACAGTTGCAACCTTCAACTGCAGAGAACAACAGGTTAGCTATTGAGGGCAGCTGCACCTGGGAGTGTTTTGAATCACAGCCCCTGAAATGAACAAAGACTGGAAATGATGTCATCTCTATGCTGTCTATGCATCTTCACTGTCCAAGAGACACCTGAGTTTTAACTTTTGATTAGCCATAGTGATTAAGTAGCTGCTTGCGCCTATATAAATAAACTTTTGGACATCCAGTGCAATTTCACATTCTACTTCTGCAATGTAGAAGTGTAGGATTACACACTCATTCTTTCCCAGTTGTCTTTTTTCCCCCCATCTTTTTCTTTCCACCGCTTTGTCATGCACATGTGCTTAAATGCAGATTTTTCTCTCTTGCCTTTTCACACGGCCTTCTACTTACTCTTTCCTCACTTCCATGTCTCTCTACATCCCCCACCCTGCATTCATACACATGGTGTATTCAAGTCTAAAGACTCACCCTGTGTCATGCAAGCTGTTAGTCCCCCCCCTCTCATTTTATCTCCCTCCCCTTTCCTCTCTCTCTTCTCTGTCCCCCCCCTCCGCAGAATGTTTGGATAGATCTAAATGGTGTGATTGTGACTGCTCTGCCGGCCGTCTGCCCCTCCACGTCTGCCTCTCAGCGTCTTTGGAAAGTCTGACGTGAGCAGAGTGAGAGGAAGAAGGGAAAAGGCAGAGAGAGAGAGGGAGAGAGGAAAGTTCTTTTGAACAACAAGGCATGGCGGCCCTCCAGAGAGCCAAGTCTAGCGTCAGGAGTCAGTCTCAGCTCCAGCCTGACCCTTTTTCTCTACCTCTATCTATCTGCTCTCAGTCTTTATTCCTCTCATTTTCCCACACTGTCTTTTTTAAACAACCTATTCCCTGCAGAATATCCCATCCTCAACTCGCTACAATCTACAGTCTATAATTTCTCACTTTGAATCAACCCTCCTCCTCCTCTTTCTCCCTCCCAACCCAACCCTCTCCTCCCTAACCTGTTCCTTTCTCTCCTGGTGTAGCAGAGGTGGACAGGGCGGGGTGGACGGGGTGGTGGCGGGGTGGGGTGCACAGGAGAGACAAAACCTCCAAAATCTAGGCCTCTCATTTACCCAGGAGGTGTCGCATTGCGTTTGAGGCGCTTCATGGCGGTGTCACATGTCGTGGCATTCAAAGAGCCGGGGTTTAAGAATGTGGGTCATTTGAAGTAGAGGCACTAAAGTGTGTTGTTTGCCAATGAATGGGGCCTTCTCACATTGACATGGTGAAAAGCGTGTGAATAAACACCAGCGCCTGGGGGCCACACTAAAGTGTTCGGCTGTATTCTTCTCAGTACCCCACCTATACAAGCCTGTTATTATCTAGCACATGAATGGATTTTGGGAATCACATTTGATATGGGCACCGTGCTGGTGTTAGGTGAGATGCCTTATCAAACCCTTTCTGTTACACCAACTGTAGAGGCAACGGAGTCTCTGCTTTTTAAACCTTTCCTACAAGAAAACCAGATCATGGAGTAATTAGATTTGGTTGCCTGTTGCGCTGCATGTAGTTAGCGTATAGCTCTGCATCCTGCACACACAGGGTTGTTTTGCCTCCAGTTCCGACTGACTGGATGGCTCCCTTAATTGCTTTCCCACGGCAGATGTTCAGATCAGATGGTTCAAATTAAGTCGTAGATTGCTCACACAAGGTTTCCTATGAAGATAGACTCTCCTCTTTACTGTCCTTCAGTTAATGAGATTGAGTGGGTGAGTGTATACTGTGCATACACAAAAATAATGTAAAGCCTTTGTGTCCCGCCCCGTCCCCCCCCCTTCTCTCCCTGACCTTGGTGATCCAGGTGTTGGTGGCAGTTGCCCTCATCGGGCTGGTTTGTCACGCAGCAGAACTTCCAGCATCTCAGTGGTCCAGCGATGAATACAAAAACCTCACCCTCCGACGACCCAGAACGTGTGTCGAGAATGAGCAGTACCTCCACCAGGGACTCTGCTGCCTCAATTGCCAAGCTGGTAAGGAGAATCACATTAAGTAGAATACAGAGTAGCTATCACAGCTCCAGTTGCAACCAAACACATAAGCAACAAGGGCCTGTATAAGTACATCTGCTGCAACAACCTGTAAAGTTGTAGCATTTCCTGTATCCTAAAAAATCTGTTGAGTGCAAGCTAGAGCCAGCAGTTAGACTGGCATTTTGTGTGAAAAAGTCAAATGTCAAATCCATGACCTTAACTGTATCCCAAATGAATTTTACAAATATTCTCTGCCTGGTCTGGAAAGAATGCATAACGGGCAGCAGCAGAAGGCAAACTGTTCCATCTCAGCAGATCAGAGTGAAGAGAAAAGTGCAGAATATGAAACGGAGGTTATTTTTAAGTTCACGTACCTACCCTACTTACACGTACCTACCCTTTTAATTTATTATTTAAAGAATTTGGTAAGGCTGTTAACTTTTTTTTCTTCTGTCTTTTAGCTCAGAACATATTTAGCCAAGATGCAATTACTGCATGCTGCTGCTAGCTGATTGAATTATTTAATTTGCCATTCTGAATTCTAGGAAAGCGCTTTTTATTTGATCAAGTCAGGTTTTGGTTTTGTTTCACATTCATCAAATAATGCTTTATTTTAAAAAACGCATGGTGCTTCATCAAATTATATGTGCACGAACATTTAAAAGCAAAAGTATTTAAAACCTAAAGGTTATTTTTGTTGTGTTGTTTGTGTCAGTTTGACTGTGAAAACCTTCAGGCCTACAAATCTGGTTATGGTAGAGCAAATCAGTAACAATGGAAATGAGGCCTTTAGAAAATCAGATTCAAAAGACAAAACTATTAAGTTTATTTATGGGAGATAGATAATAAACAGATATTAATTGATAAAAACAGAGAATAACGTATTGGTTGTGACACTGGCCTGATGAATTATCCTTGTTTGTCTCGGGTTTTATGTTTTTCCCACTTTTGTGATTTCGTTTTCTTGTATTCTTGCCAGTTGGTCAGTGGTTACCACATCCGTAAAAACCACTGTGACCACTTAATTGTATGAAATGTTAGCTTTTTGCCTCTTTTTGCCAGTTATGAACTTTTATTTAACCAGACAGGAATCTTTATTGCCTGGATGCACATTGAATATCAGTTTTGCCAACACTTAACTAGAGCTAAAACAAACTATTACCCCTGAACCAACCACAATACCAATACTCTGCATTTACTGAATACTCAATGAGTTCAACCAGAGATGTCTTTGCCTTCTGATGCATTCTTCACATTCTCTGCTGTGACCTTTTTTTTATTTGTTCATCATGTAAATCCTGAAAACACATGACAATCAAGAGTTTTTTATTCATGGCATGCGTGAGCTGAGTATAAAAATTCTAAGCATGACAATCGACCAGTGGTTGAGCTCAAATCACTGTGTAGTTCAATGAAACCGTTCCTGCGCTTCTTCTGGTCCCCGTGAAACGCGGACTAACTTCCTGGAAACATGTCATCTCATGTAAAACAGTGAATCATGCACAAGTAAAGAAAGCTTAGCTAATATCCCATTGGTTTACAGTACACACAGCACAGTGTGAGCTGTGGTATGTCCTGTCCCAGCTTCCTACTTCAACAGGAAACACATCACATTAATGACGTCAAGATTCACAGGGCTGGAACTGTCCCTTTATTATATTTATCACTTGAGTTGTTGTTTGACCTTTTTTTGTTTTATTTGCAGGAACTTATGTGCACAAGGAATGTGAAAGAGACCAAGAACAAGGGAGCTGTCTTCCCTGTGAGCCTGGACAGACGTACACAGAGCACTCCAATGGGATGTACCGCTGTTTGCCCTGCACACACTGCCGCTCAGGTAACCAGATTGTCTGCATCTTGACCTGTGTTTCATGATATCTTTACTTCGCCTGAGTCAGTGGGAAGGATTAAGGTCTGTTCAGCCAAGTATATTGCTATACTATATTTATTTACTTGTATTTGTATGTATTTGTTTTCATTATCGATTCATTTTCAATTTCTTATTTTCTTCATTAATCAATGAATTGTTTGTTCTAAACAAAAAGTACAAGAAGCCCGTTACAAGTTCCCAGAGACCAAGTTTACCATTACACAAGGCAAAGAAAACCTGAAAATATTCACAGTTTAGAAGCAGGAACCAGTGATTTTTCTATTCATTTTCTATTTGACTATTACTTTTCTTAAGAATTCACTAATCAATTAAACAAGTACTTGTTAAGACATGTCTACTGTAGCAGCAACACTGCCCTGTAAATATGTGTTAACAACAACTACAGTAAGTATGTCACGTTGGGTTGAACCAGGAAATAGCTTTGTCCAATCTGAACACTAAAAATAAGTCCCAGGTTGTTAAAAAAAAGAAGAAAAGAAATTAAATAACACCTAAGTGGATTGCCCTTTAATTCAGAAATAGTCTTCTGTAATCCAGTCAGTCAAAGATATATTGTTTGGGAAAGTCAATACCTTTTTGTCTGTGCCCCCTCCTTTCAGACCCACTCATGAAAATGTGATCTTATGATGTTACACGGAGTAGTAGGGCGTGTCTTTGTTGTTTTGTTTCGTGGGCTAAATGTGAGTGTGTTACCTGTCTCAGGAGATTTGCTTGTGTGTCTGTCTTACCTGGCTGAACTGGGTGTGGCTGTGTCCCATTGTCTCCCACACTGGGCGTCTTTGTGTCCAGTGAAAGGCTGGAGCTACAGAAAAGAGACTACTGTTACATAGGATGTGTTTTGTGCTCATTCATTGCGGTTTTAAGATGGAGGTTTGTGTGTTTTTGTTCTCGTTTTAACTTATTCAAGACCATGTAATAATTAATTGGAGCGCGCCAAAGGAAATGTGAATTCAATTTTGAAAAGTTTGCTACGGACTACTTGCACTTGAAGTGAACTGCGCTGCTATCAGCTTCACTTCAGAAGCTCCTGTTTAGAAATACCCTATATTGACAAGGCTAAAGTGGATTGAATGAATCATTTATGATACCAGATAGAGCTTTGCTATCTTTGAAGTTTAAACCATGGTTTCACATGTTGTCTCAAAAAAAAAAAAACCTTATGATGAATGATGTGGAGGGGATTTCACCTGTGAAAGTGTTTCTTTTTTATATATTGCATAAATCACTGATTAAACAGTAAGTACACAGAAAAGGCTATTCATATTCAGATTGGTTAAACAGACACTTAACTGTGATTTTGTGCCTTGGAAGCCCCACCCCCAACACACAGAATTATATAAAGCACCTGCCAATTTAAAAAAAATAACATAATCAAGAAATTATAGTGTATTCCCCAAAACACCAGCTGCCTAACTGGTAGCTGAGTATTGACTTGTTGCCAGTTTGACACTTCCGGATGTGTTTTTTTTTTTTTTTTTTGTTAATGGAGGTTTGGGTTTACCGTGACTCAGATCCTATTTAAAGCTTTGTTCCTCTCCTCTGCATGTGTTACATTCCAATCAGCACTGAGCATAATTATGTAACTACAGGCTCTAGACAGCATCTGCGTCCAACACTACACATGTTTAATATAAGAATGAGCTTCTTCAGCACAGCATGAAGGAAACAGAGTGCTGCAGTGTCAACAGCTTGTAAAATGGCTCCAGTGGCAAAAAAAAGTAACACGCAACAACAAAACATCATTTTCTAGCTTGATGGAATTACATAAATAGCAATAACAAATTTGACAAAATGGAGAAGATTAAGTCACTGAACAATGTCATCAGCATGTTCAAAGTCTAACAAAGTCAGCTTTGTTTAACTACTATTGTATTTAACTGTTTGTACACTGTATACTCTCGGGCCTTTTTTCTTACAAGGAACTTTTTTTAAAAAATCAATAGGATCATTGTGAGAAACATCACAAAATTCAATTTTTTTATGTGAAATATTTTCACAGTTAATCTGTTGTTATTTGTTATTTTCAAACATTTGTGTGCTCTACAATCATTAATATGATAGTGTGCTGCAGGGCCGAGCATTTAACAGCCATGCAATAAGTCTAAATCGTCCCAGAGTGTCTTCAGAAATGAACAGCCCCTAGGAAGTTGTTTTGTATTGGAAAATTGTCATTATATTTTGATTATATACCATTAAAATGATAACAATCGAACCCATTGTCCCAATAACTTGGCATAAGTAGCAGTCGAGAAGTGCTGTGGTAATCTCAGCAGTGGTCTGTATGGGAGTGTTTGTGTATAGTGAGTGCGGACGCTAGCCAGGAAAAAGCTCAGAAAACAAGAACATCAGGGGAAAGGATACGGAAGAGTTCACAATAACTCATAAGATGTGCCAAAAGAACGCACTATGAGCATGTTACATAAATAGTTATGCCTCTTGTTTGCCTTATGCGACTTCTAAAAATATTTACTTTTAAAAGATTTGGAAAGAAAAAAAAGATTAGGCACACAGTTTTGAACCAAACATGCATCTCCTTGCTGACAAATTCATGGTCTGTTTACATCCATACAAGCCAAGTTGTTGTCTTGAGCCATTAAGTCATTCCATATAGTCATAGTACATCACATGAGCGTAGTATAAGTAACAGCTGTGACATATACAGGCCCATTTAACTTAACTGAACTCAGGTAATTAAGATCATTACATTGATAGTTACTGATAATTAATGGCAGGAGAGACACAAAGAATTCAGTGTGGAGAGAGACTGAGAGAGGACAAACACTGGAGACTTCAGTCTCTGTTAACTGGCTGGGATCAGTAAACTCCATTTGATACTCGACTTCAAACATATGGACAGATAAAGACAGAATTTCTCCTGCTGGCACTCCTTCTCAACTATGTCCTACTATAAGTGTTTGTTAGGAGATGACTGAATATGGACTTTGTATCCTGAGCAAAATTCTTACCTGTGGAAAGGTTGACTAAACGTGTGTTGTCATTGAGGTCATAAAATGACACAACCTCCTGCTCTAAATGAATATCTGAAAAACTACTTTACAGAATTCTTTTAAACTAAAAAAAAAAAAAAAAGAACTGAGCTGAATTGTCTGAATAAAATTGTAAGAAAATTACTGTGGAGAAGATTATAAGATAGTAGAGGAGTGTGCTTGCAGTTTGTGTTCCCTTAATTGGCAAGCATGGACATCAGATTTCCGTGAAAGGTCATCCTGTGGAGGTAGAATGCTGGTTTGTTATTAATTTTGATTGTATCTTAAAGGCCTACTGTCTTTTTGGGGTCTCCGTTTAATAAATTAACTATGCCAGATTTTCCATCCCTCATTATCCTGAGGAAGATAAAATTGGAAACCCAATTATCTAACTTTTTGTAAAACATTACTTTATAATTTGCTAACGGCGAAGAAGTCCACCATGTTCTCCCCCTTTTAACACGTACCAGTGGTCACTGTGAAAATTTGAGTCTACTTGTAAAACTGCACAGGCTTCACACAGTTGGATCACAAGTTGCGAACTCCATCGCTTATTTATTAAAGATCTAAAGCTGCCTGAGAGGTTACACACTCTGAGTTCACGAGTAATGTGTACTGTTCTCGAGTTGTTCACATCGTATCCATGGCCAACGCTAGATATGTGACACAATGGCTTTCATTTTATAAAACAAAGCAGAGAGTAAAGCAAGATATCTTTTTCTGACACAGATATGATACATTGCTGTTAAATATGTGAGTTGATGAACATTTATAGAGTGGATTGATGTTGATATCTGTATAGATTTCACTGGATTTAGGTCCCTGGCCCTCAATGTCATGATATTTTACAAACTAACACGTCTTTTTCTATCTACAGATGAGATTGAAACTGCATCGTGCACCACAACTACAGACACCAGGTGCCAGTGCAAACCAGGAACCTTCTGTGTCCCAGATCAGGCCTGTGAAGTCTGCAAACGCTGTGCCAAGTAAGTGTAACCTTTTGCCTAAAGTAGTTGTACTATACTACAACCCAATCGCTAGACTAGACCAATGATATTGGGTGGTTCTACAGAACCCAGGATCATCTTTAGTGACAATGTTATTTTAAGTCTCGTGCCAATGTTACAATATCTGCACCTGGGAACTGCAGTATGGTTGAGGTTAGGGAATGATCAGCAAATAACCTATAGCCACAGTAGAGTCAGTGTTAAGCAACTGAAATACTTTGTTATGGTTAGGGCAGGATAAACATGTCTCCTTCATGAATGTCAGACTCTCTATATGCACATCCTTCACCCTGACCTCCACACCCTTACTTTCTGCCTCGCCACGTAAATGGTACACTGCTTCCTGCTTTGGCACTGAACGCTGACATTGGGTGTGAAGGTGCCGACTCATCCAATATGAATGTTATTCTTAAGATAATGGGTTGATTGTCTAGAACCCTCTGCATTGCTGGATCTCAATCTTAAACAACTTATCCTGCAAACCAGTTAAAAGCCAGTCCCTGACTGCCAGAAAACTAGAATTGAATTCTTGAGGACCAGCTTTAAGCACCGATGGTTATAATGTTGTTAGCATGTTTTACTTTTACTGGAAATTTAGTTAAATTTTCTACGAAATTACAGGTGTAAACCAGGAGAGGAGGAGGTGAAGACGTGCACCCCGTTTTCTAACACAGAATGTCGAAAACGGAATCCGTCACCTACCAAGACACCCCTAACCCCTTCTACACCAACCCCTACTTCTCCAGCAGACATCGGTAACCTCACCTCACTGTTTCACGAAGAGCCTTCTGCTCAACATTGATGGCTATTTTAAACTTTATTGTACATCTTCACTGATTTAGTTCTGTTTCTTTCCAGTTATGCCCATATGCATTTCCCTGGTCATCATCTTCTTCATCCTCCTCATTGTACTGGCTCTGTGGTGGTTCATAATCAAGAATCGTTCATGTGAAATACCATGTGAGTTGACATTGTGCACTGTACCTTTTCAATGCCGTTCTGTTTATTAAGGATGTATTCCTAATGCTATTTGTGTGCTTGTAAACAGGTTCAAAGAGCCATTGTGACTCCAGTGAAATCGTGAAGATTCCTATTGTAAGTTATTGTTTTGTGTTCTTTCCTGTTGTGCACCTTTTTAAAGCTATTATAATTGGTGCATTATATAATGAGTATTATGTGCTAGCAGTCACAGTATGTCACTGTTCTATCTTCCATTCTTCCTTCTGATCAGGATGAGAGTGGAGCCACAGCCGAGGAGAGACAGAACAATCAGAACGCAGGTCTGGAGGGGGAAGAGTCCCGCCCGGAGTCACGGCCCCTGCTGCAGGAGACCCAGGCTGGGATGACCAAGGCCTCCCCTCCCCTCGAAGACGAGGACCGAGGACTGGGAGACAGTCTGCCCAACACCACTAGTTCGTCTCAAACCAGCCTGTCAGCCCTGCCCACAGCGGCTTCTTCTGGAAGCACCCCACACCAGAGCCCCACGGCTTTCAGACTGCCGCCTGCAGACATGGTGAGGGGAAACTGGTGGGAGGAAAAAGATTTAAAAAAAAACATTAGAAAGATTTCAAATGTTCAAATCACTTGTGTTTTAATCTCACATAAAATGTCTCTCATGTTGCAGGATGATCCTCTGCGACATCGACTGGTGCCACTACAAGGTAAGATTCTTGCAGTTGGAGGGAGATTTCCCCCTCTTTTATATATTTTTTACTCATTTCATTAAGCCATAAAGCTATTTTTCATGCCTCTTGCCCTGAAAGGCAGCTGTACACAAAGACTGCACCGTTTATTACAGTTAATGTCAAACCACAGTCAAATAAACAGATTTTACTAAAGATCTCGCATTAGCTGTTTGATAGATTAATAATCTCATGACAGTCAGGCCATATCTAAGCCTTCAGGGGGTTAGAACATGCTGCCTTTTTTTGCTGTTGTTTTTTTCCCATGCTAAATTAAAGAGGACATGGCTTAACAGGTTTGTTTGATCCTCTGTTAAAATGCTTATGTATGCATAGCCCGAAGGAAAATATGTCCACACTGTGTCCAAGCATTAATTGCTGTATGAGGTTGTTTTTTTTTAAGTATTTAGTTAGTGTTAAAAATCCATTTCTTCATTGTAAGACAATACTAATGGGTACATATACAAGTTTTTGTGCAAGCAGCTAACACTGTGCCTCTTTGTGTCTCACAATCTAAATTTGTTGTTTGTCTGTTTTTTTTTAAGGGTCAGAAAAATCCCTAAAGAAGAGCTTTGATTTGTTCGACGAGTACCTGGATGTGCGGATCCATAACAAGTTCTTCAGAATGATTGGAGTCAGTGACAACCACATTCGGATTGCGGAGAACGGCGCCCCTGGTGACAAAGTGTATGAACTGCTGAAGAACTGGATGCAGAGGCAGGGACTAAAAGCCGACATCAACGACCTGTTAGAGGCTTTGCTAAGTATGGACCAGCGGCGCTCAGCTGAAAGCATCGCCTCTGCAGCCCTGCAGAGAGGCTACTACAAGTACGCAGACACACCCTGAGAGCTGAAGTAACAGGGACTGCAAATGAAGAAAAAACACAAAGTACTTAATGCAAGAAAACTAAAAGCACACAGACACTGTCGGTGGACATTGTGTCAGGCGAACAGCCTTACCTCTTTGTGGCTGACCAGCCATGTATTCAAAAGCCAGTAGTTTTAAAAAGAAAAACACAAAAAGGGGAAGGTCGAGCCGTATTGATCAGAGCTCTGAGGATGTTGACTACTTGCCAAATACGGAGGTGTAATAATGAAAATGAAGAATACGTTTTGTGGTTAAATTTAAAGATATTGTGCGACCATGAAATTTTTTTTTTCAAATAGAGCAGAAAAACATGAAGGTGTCAACTTCCACACGCAGAAATGGTTGCATGTTTTAGGCTCTACTGAAGCAACGTTCATCCAAATACTGAAAGCTTAGAAGTCTCTGGGTGTGTGTCACTCTACCCAGATCAGAATACACTACCTGGAGACAAGGATATACACTGGTTTGTAGGAGTGGCATTAGCTGTGTCACTAATACTGTGCCTCTTTGTTGCACTGACCTCTGGCACATGTAGGATTTAAGACTACAATCATGCTATATTTGTTGTTTTGTAGATTTAGGCTTCTCTGAAACCTTATGTAACAGTCCATGAACCTTTTTCTGATGAATGACAGGAAAAGATTGTCCATTTGTTATGACAATGTGCAGCCTTACTAATCATAAACTTTACCTCTTCAGTGCCATTTGATAATCTAAATTTATTTAGGTATACATTTTTATTATGATTTCATTATGGTCATAGAGCGTAGTGATTCAGAAATGTCACATTGGAGAAATGTTTTCAGTCTTTGTCGTCCAGTCTTTTAAATGTTGTGTTACTACGCGCACACACACACACACACACACACACACACACACACACACACACACAAGGACATCATAGAAGGAATTTCACAAGCTGTTTCTGTTGGAGCAACTGTTAATAGTTTAGTCAAATGTATCCATAATGTTTCCATGTAACTTGGAGAACCTAAAGGTCATTTTATTTATTGACATATTTATTGTAATGAATAATAATTAACTTTCATTATTTATACCATTGCCAAAAATGACCCTGCATAACAAGCACACACTGTGTACACACGTTTGTGTTGTGATTACAACGTTTGGCTACAGGGCAGAAAACGACTGACATCAGATTTTTCAAGGTATGGTTGAAACTTGCAGCGTTCAGTTGAAACCTTTTCATTTTTGCTGCATTGTGTTAAGTTTAAGCACCCTGGTCCACACTGTCACTGTATCAATGTTACGTGTGCCATTTCTTCACAAGTGAGTTTCCACTGTGACCACATTCAGCACATTGTTGAAGCTTTCATGATGCTAAATGCAGAATGTGTCATTTCAAATTGGAGTTAAGGTGACATCAATCTCTGAAGAAAATGAGGATTGACCTGTTGAGTCCAACCGTTAATAGTAAACCGACTGACCAAACAGTCCTGCTGTACATGTCAGTAGGGACATGGGATGCAGGTACGGATTGTTTTGTCTTGGTTAGACTCAGACAAGATGAAGGAAACCTTTTCTGGATTTAACAGGAAGTTCAAATTTATTTCCCTAATTCTGTCACATGTACATACAAATGTCCAGAGAGTGTACAAGCCTCACAAAGTCTATGTGTATATGTATATATGCAGCTCTATTAACAAACCAAAATGAATATAGTGAGGTATGAAGTTATTGAGAACAACAGAAACGCCAACCAGAGCAGTTGGCTGTTGAGGTTGTGACATTTTAAACTAGATTTTGCCCATTTTTCTGCAGTCTCTTATGTATAAAGGAAAGAGTTACAGAGTTATATATTATTGCTCAAGAGTGATGCTACAGTGCTGGCACTGCCATCTATTGACGGACAATGAAAATGCAGCCTGCATCAATTTCTAGGGACCCTGTACACCCCTCTCTCACTTACCATCCTTACCCTTTTAACTTTATTTTTAACGCATCCATTTCTTAGACTTTTCTTTGACAATTCCTCTTTGCCTTTCCTGAAGTAGCATAGCAGTGAATAGGCTCCAGTGCATGTTTTGTTCACTCTGTGGCAGTTCATGTGAGTGTAATGTCTTCCTTTTTTAAAAAAAAATTATTTCTGTTTTTACTTTTACATATTTAATTGCAAGTCCTAAGCTGTTCAATTAACTTCCTTTTACTTTTGTAAAAACGTTCTGTGCGTTGCCGTTAAGCCATTTCCTCCTTAGTTATTGTTTGCTTGTCATGGATTTCAGATATAAATTATGCAAATACATCAAAGCTGTTTTTATGTCAATTTTAAATAAATGTTTTGTACAGATAATCGTCTTTGAATTGCCTGGAATTACTGGTGTTTTCATGTTTGGTTACACATTTCCCAGGGTTGTGTAGATCAAAATGACCACCTGGGCACCCTGTCTCCGGTTCACCACTGTTCCTTCCTTGGACCACTTTTGATAGGTACTGACCACTGCAGACCGGGAACAGCCCACAAGAGCTGCAGTTCAGGAGATTTTCTGACCCAGTCGTCTAGCCATCACAAGTTGGCCTTTATCAAAGTCGTTCAAATCCTTACGCTGCCCATTTTTCCTCAACTTGGGGACAAAATGTTCACTTGCTGCCTGATATATTCCACCCACTGACAGATGCCATGATATCGAGATAATCAGTCTTATTCACTTCACCTGTCAGTGCTCACAATGTTATGCACACTACACATTAAAGGGGAGCTCCACAGATTTTACACATCAGAGTCTCTTTACATGTCTTGGGGAGTACTACTGCATATGTGAAAAGAAAGTAAACCCTTTGTTGCTCCACAGGGAGCTGTGTGAAATTTCATAAATTGCCTCAAGTGATGTCACCTGAGTCAGCAGTGATTTGTAATTGAAATAAAATCTTATGGTGTAAAGTTAGATCACCAGACCTTCCTTGACTCGAGGCAACATTAGCCACTACTAGCATAACACACCTGAATCTTCTGTCAAACTGTTGCATTGTGGGTAATGTAGGCACCTGGTTTTGAAGAGGAAGAAGAATGCATTGATTTGGATCCTTTTTGTCCGTTATGAGTCCAACAATCGGAGTGCTATGCTAAATCTCTTTAAATTAACAAACGTGTTCAACTAAGGTAACAAAGAACAAATGCAACAATGCAGTATGTGTCAAGACTCAACAACTTTAAAAAATGTTAGTTTTAATATTATAAAATCATATGAAGCCATGGATTAAATGTTTTACTAAACCGACTACAAAACTCAGTTTTTACTAGTATGTAGTCACTTTAAACATACATATTGCAGCCATTTGAATTGTCTTGCAGTACAGCTGATTAATACGTTTATTGTAGACAAAACAAATCTACTAAAGGCTATCATGAACTACATTCAGAGGTAGAAGTTGTGTTACTTCAAATTACTTTGATGGTCATTATCAGTCCTGTCTATTGAACACATATCAACATCACAAAGAAATGCTTGTATGTTCCCTGCTTATTCATACAACTTTGAATCTGTGCATTTCCTTCTTTATGCTCTATTTGTCGAGATGTGTCGAGTTGATTATATTGTCACATGGCAGACTCAACTCTTCTATCAGGACATTCCCTTTCATTTACAGGCCAGCAGGTAAAAATACACATCAGCATTGTTAGTTCTTAACTGTATTTGGTCCAGTTTTTCCGTAGTAGTGAGTGCCTCGGTGCCTGCCTGACCATTTTAAGTGACTGGCCTTTTTCCTTAAAGTAAGACGTTTGATAAAACTGAGATTTTCAGTGTCTCCTTTTTTTCTCATTGTGAAAACATTGTTCTCCGCGTTGTCGTGGTTCCTTTTTTGCCGTTTTTGTCTCTTGTAATCGGGGTAAAAATTATTTTGAACTCTTCTCAGTATGCCATCAAAATAATAGAAATGATCATATTCGTCATCGCTGAGAGGACTGTCTTTGTGGTCTCTGATAGATGTGGTCTCCTCTTCTTCTGTATCCGTAAATGCAGCCGCTGGTTCCATTGAGGAAAACATCTTTGATCCCATACCTGCAAATCGCTCCACACAGTGTTTCCAACCAGCTTTAGTGCGATGTATTAAACCTCTGCAGAGCGGCATATTGTCATCTGTAGTCTGTGGAGGAGAACCTTTCATCAGTAGAGTCACTGCTGAGAAATGTGACTCATTTCATCTTACAGTATTACAGGATTAGAGCAAATAATATATAATATATGAAATGTCCTGTTATTATTCAATGCACAATTTTTCCTCTCCAAGATCAATAATGCATCTGATTATAGTTCTTTCAATTATTAACATGCTTGCAGCATATTGCAGTTTTATCTTCATTCAGATCCAGATAATGGATATAGTTTTTTTTATCATCTCTGCACACATTTCCCTCAATTTATTTATGTAACACTATCAAAGTTTGACATTTTAGGAAGTAAATTGATTCACTTTCTGGCACAGAAAAAGTCAAAAGTAAAGTTAGAAGAACATATTGATACCACTCTCATTTCTGTCCATTCGATATAAGGCTTAAACCAGCAGCCGATTAGCTTAGCTTAGCTTAGTACAAACAATGGAAATGGGAAAATAGCCTGGCTCCGTTGGAAGGCAACAAAATCTGCCTACCAGCACCTTGAAATCTCACTAACATTTTATCTCTCAAAGAAAAACCAAAGGGTGAAAACAACAATTGCTTCTTCTATGTGCCGCACTGTTTCCAGGCAACCAGCGTGACCTCAAGGAAGTTACTGCGTCAAGAGATAATCCAAAGGAAGTGGTTTTCACAGGGATTTAACAAATTAGATATAATGTGTTAATTAGTGAACTTGAACTGTGCTATTAGCTGGATTTTGTTACCTTTGGACAAAGGTGTTGGCTGTTTTCCCCGTTTCCGCTCTTCAATCATCTGCTAGCTGTGTCATGATATGATAAGAGAGTTGTATTGATTTTCTCATCTAAGTCTCTGCCAGAAAGCGATTAAATGTATTTCCCAGAATGTGGAACCATTATTTTACTTTCACTTGGACTGTCATAGAAGTCTGGAACTGTAACTTCACTTACTTTAGGAAGCGTGTCTGTGGCTTGTTTGTGGATTATTTGTGATGGTTTTGCAAATCTAAATGAGTTCACTTTTGAATCCTTTTGGTCTTCTTGTCTTTCATTTGCTGGCCTGTTTGTTGCCGCTCTATCTCCATCCTCTGCGCCTTTGTGCAGTTTGGTTATATCTGCCAGGACGTCTTCTCTCATCCTGAGGCCCGAGAATAACTTTTCAGTCGGAGCTTGTACATTATTATTCGTTTCCCATGTTATGAATCTGGGCTCAGTCTCAGATCCTGGACTCATTGTGGTCACTGGGGTCTCCTCTGTTCTTGGCAGTCCGTCTGCGTTCTGTGTTGTGTCCTGATTGAAGACTTCACTACTCAAAGTTGTGTCTTTTATCTCCATGTTTACTGTAGTTGTCTCAGCCATAAGCTCCGTTTTTGCAGTTTCTGTTTTAATCATTTTGAGCGAGGGAGGCGAAGGTATGACGGATTCTTCTGATGGAACATTTTCCTCTTGTTTAGTATTATTTATGCTCATATTTTCATGAGGTGTGTCATTAGTCTCTGTGTGCTCTATTATCTCTCTCATTTCTGCAGTCTGTTCCTCAGTGTATGCAGATGCTGTAGTTACTTTAGCTGCACTTTCTGCTGGTTTTATATCTATTCCCTCTGTTCTATCCAGTGCATGTATTTCTACTGAAAAGAGGATTTCTGTCAAGCACTGACATTTTGAGTTATCTGTTTCAATATTAAAGTTTTCCTTCATAACTTCAGTCATTGGTGGGGGGTCTTCCAGCTGCTTTATGGGTATATTTACTGTTTTCCAGCCAGTATCTGTGTTCAGAATAAGTTTTCTTTCTGTTTGTGCCTCTCTCTCCGTGTCTGGAAGGAATACCATGATTAAGACTTCTTCTCCCACCTCAGTAAGCATTTGCTTGTGATCAACATCATTATTATCTGCTTTATGTGTAGAGTCTGCTTGTAAGATGTATGCTAATCTTTTCTGGTTTCCATTTTCAATAGTATTTGTATGTGATTTTTCTGTTTCACGTTCTCCCTCTGGGTGTCTAGACTCTGCTTGTTTTGCGATTATTTTTCCACTTAAATCCTCTTTATTATCGTCCTGAGTACCCCTCATCTTATACTGCGGTCTATTTATAGATCCTGTCTTCTCTCTGGATACCAACAAGCGTTGCCTCTTAATGTAATTTCCATCCTCTTTATACGCACCAGATGCATCTTTTAAAGATTGTTGCCTCTGAACACTTTTTTTCAACAAGGGCTCATCTTTCCAGTTCAAATGTTCATTTTTCTTAATAATTCTGACTGCTTTTCTCTGAATCTCTATTTGTGATATATCAGACGTTTTCAGTGAAGAGCTGCCAGAGTGCAGAGTAGCAGCTTGGAAAATGTCATGTTGACTGAGTGCAGCATTTGAAAGCTGTTGTCCATCAGGCTCCATGGGAACTTTAATGTCCATGGCTCGCTGTGTGCTCTCTTTTTGTCTTATTTGTGGTTCTGCCATCTGTTGTTTGGATATTTTCTTGATGTTCAGCGCTGATCTTATTTCACCCTCTTTAAAACAGCAGGAAATAATATTTATAGTTGTGGCAGTGCAGCATCTCTTTGTCAGCATTTTCTGCAGTTGAACAATGGTGGCGGGTGCCCAGCTCTTGGATGTCTCCAGTAAGAAAGCCTGAAAACTGTGGCCTGGGGCAGCTGTGCGATGATGGAGTAACCATGCAGACCCCGAATCTGGGTGATCTTTTATTATATCCATGGCAATATGACTGGTTCCACCGTCAGCCTTAGTCGACGTGACCTTGCTAATAACGTGCAGCGCTGGTAGAGTACGGGGCTTCACCAGAAATGCTGGAACACTTTTCTCCTTCACATGAACAGGAAAAACAACCTGGAGTGGCAGAAGAGAGACAAATGCATGAGCTTTAACATAAAAACACTGCTGGCCGTATGGCTCTAGGGGCAGCAATATCCGTTTGTCGGCCCACAGCTTTGGTACAGGCATAAGTATCAACGATGAGACAGAACGCCATGAAATTCTGGGTTCGGTTCATGGGCCTCAGAAAAAATGTCTCAATAAATATTGAATTGATTACCACAGAATTTGGACATTCAGTTTCCCCTCAACTTGTCATCTGGTTCCATCATTGGTTCAAAATTATCCAAAGCTTCGGTTTATGGTCAAATATCTGCAGAATTATAACATTCCCATCTGCCTGACCTACTTTATATATGGAGGTCATTACCAAATGCTAGAATGCTAACACAGTAGGCTAACATTGTGACAATTGTAAACTTTAAACCTGCTAAACGGTAACTTGCCAGCACACTTACGAGCATGTTAGCACTCTGACGAGCTCAGCCTCCAAGAGAGCTAGCATAGTAATTTTTTCAATGGTTTATTGCTTTCAAGTGTCTATGTTTAGCTTTTACTTAAATGGCACGTGGTTCCCCTCACACACTACTCAACTACAAACACCATCGACCATGCAGCATTCATTGATATCTGGGTATATGTCATGGTTAAAGAGAGAGAAGGAAATCTCAAAGGGAGTTATTCACATGTCCACAACTGTTGCAGTTTTTCTTTTAGTTAATTTATTTCGATATGTCTGTTTAACCACAATATTTATAATCTACTTCTCATTTGTAGCAATCTTTGTTGTAGTATTCTATATATTCTAAGTGAATGTGCAAAGCCAGTTTCCAAGTAAAGTCTCTCTTTCATTGAAAAGCATTAGTTGGAAATCTCTCTGCTCTTCCATAAACAGGTGCAAAAACATGCTGCATGTCAGATATTCTGATTATCAACAGTGTGAAATGAAGACAAAAATAAACCATGTTGTTACTGCTTGTGTAATAATCAGCTTCATGCTTTTATGCAGTGTGATCTTGAGGATGCCTGGCGACCTTGCAAAAGGTGTCCATCCCACCTGTGATGCTGACATATCATGCACACGCTTTGGAGGGGCAGAACAGATGTTAGAAATAAAAATATGTTGATTGAAATGTGACATTTGGCTCACAGAAGATTTGGAACATAGTGGTATAAGTTGAACACACCACAGGAAGGTAACCTACAAAGTAGTACATTAATAAAGTAAATTCACACCAATACTGATTGAAATAAACATACCAGTGCTGGAATATGATTCTTATGGATTATTCTTGTAAATTCCTGCTGAGACAAACGGCATCCATGATCATCATGGACTGTGTACGCCCAGTAAAAGGGGGAGGTCTTCTGTTTGTGCAGCACAGCGACATACACACAGTTTTTCTGGATACACACGCAGTGGCGTTCAGTTTGGGTCTGAACTTTCTCCAGTCCTCTGGGAGTCATCTGTCCATTGAGAAGCAGTTTTCTGTACAAACTCCAGCTGTAGTTTTCCACGACCCAGTCCCCGTCTCCAAGGGGACTCAGGTCAGAGACGAACAGGGACACCAGCAGCAACCACGGCCTCATTGTGCTGAGAATGAGGGCTGGAAGGCAGCATAAACTCAACAGAAATGCTCTTATCTTTACTGCGTTTTCATTTTGAATATGCAAACTATGCAGCAAATAATGGTGCTATCTAACGAGGTGCTGTAATTACAGAGAGGCAGCTTTCTATCACTTTCACAGTGGTATACCTCGTTAGGAAATGTAACCTTGTTCCTAATGGGTCATGGAGCTTCTTCACATCAAACTTTACCACTTTAACTTTCTACAATGTTCACATGGAAACATACTTTAACTTTAACTTAAAATGTTATTGATATTCTCTATTTTTCCTATAGTCCCATAAAAAGACCATGCCAACAATGAATATAGTGATAATAATAAAAAGTATTATCTCAGAGCCTGATATATCTTTTTCCTCTGTTCTATAGAACTCCATTGTCCAAAAACTGTTAAAAACACATCAGGGAACCACGCTGAACATGTTCACTGTATGTTTATTTGGAGGCAATACCACATACGCCGTCCTGCTTCCAGAAATACTCATCAGAGCACCAATTGTGGATTAATCCGCAATTAAAAATAGTCCCCAACAAATGCACTATTTACTCCTTTTTGAGTCATGTGTACCAAAGACTGGAGTACCCGCCTGCTTAAGGGAATTATTTAATTATTTAAAAAAATGTAATTATTTATTTTTGACCTGTTTCTAAAGATTTACTCCTTCAGTAGAACGAATGGGCCACAGGCAGACTGGGAGAGGTAAAAAAAATATTGAGAGAGGGACTAACACATTGTTGGTTTTGATTGTTTCATGATTTATTGACAGTAAGAATAACACCAGCCTTATCTTTCAAACCAGTTACCCTTTTTTCTAAATAAGCACTCAACAACTCAACAAGGATGTTGTTAATTAGTATTATTAATGTCTTTTCACTGACAAAACAGTTGAGTTCACAGTTGTGGGCCACACTGGGCTGCTCTTTTAAAGCAGGTACATACAGTTTATTGCCCTGTGCTAGCTGTGCTAAAAGGTTTTGCATGTTATCAGGCTTTGCCCATAAAACACACACTGCGTAGGTCAGGAAGACAGTGGCAGTTTATCGTATCGTATTGTCACCTTGCCTTCGTTGTTGCAGCAGGTAAGAATTCCTTCTGTCTTCGACCCAGAGTGTTGAGAAATGTTAAGAAACTAAACCCGTTTTGTTAACTCATGTGTGTTAAATAAGTCGTGCATGTGTTTTCTTGTATGTAAGAATTGTCATTTTTGTCTTTCGGAAGACAAAACTAAAGGAACAAGCAATGGAAAATACAGCAGTCTTTTCATTTCTATTCATTTACAGAATAAATCTATCAAAAGCTGGCATGGATGGTGTTATATATGTGTTTAAAATCCTAATTTGACATTGATCATTCCGCTTCACCAAGGTGGAAAAGTTTTATTGCTTTGTAATCTCTCAGTTTAATTTGTCATATGTTACTTTGCTTGGTGGCATATTCCTGGGTCTATTCTCAAATGTAGGGTGCAATAAAGAAAGGTGATTAGATTAGATTATTTTAAATGTGAGTTGTTACATTTTCAAAGCTTAAGATATTGTAAATATGTAAGATATAAAACAGTATTCAAATGTGGGGAAATAGTGTACATTGTGTGGGATATGTCCACAAATTTTAATCCAGTTTATGATAAATATCACTGTTTATTTTCTGCAGTCCTGACCAGTCAGACCAATCACATCAAACAAAACAAAATGGGAAACATCAACACCGCATCCCAGATGAGCAACTACAGCAAGAGGAACGTCCGAGTATTCGTCACAGAGAAGGCTCTGGAGATTGACGCATTTATCTCCTCCCAGTCTGGAGGCGACGATAAGAGCTGGAAGAGCTCGTCTGTGCTTCCTGCTGACAAAAAGTTCAACTTTAGGAATGACACCAAGAGCATCCGTGTGCTGGCCTCTCAGACTCAGGAAGTGCCCTGGAACGCTGATCACTTTCTGTCCGTCTTTGTGGAGGATGAAGATGACGAAAACATTTGTTCCAAGCAAATCATGCACAACATGGCGCTGAGTGCTCCAGTTACTGTGCTGCTGTATGATGTGTAGATTAAAACCTTTGTTTACATGCAGAACAGTGTACTGTTTTGCTGTCACAGGTCTGAATTAATCAAACTATGCATTGAGCATCTGAGTTCCTACTGCTGTTAACATAACCTATCTCTAAGTGCCTTCAATAAAAGTGCTGCTCAGCTTCACGCTCCTCCTGCCTTTGCATTTGTCATTACAAAGTAAAATAAGATTACACATTCATTTGGTGTCACTCTGTCTGCGTGACAGACTCAGTGATCATCTGCTTTTAGTCCGGAGCTCAGAATTATTGCTAAACAGTGGAGGCTTTATTCATACTGGAGGTCTGTGCTAAATTATATGATATGGTAAGCGGTCTCTATCAGCCACATGGTTGTTTTGAAAAAGAAAAAAACATCTTCATAACACCTAACTTTGTGACTCCGTTCATGCACAAACACAAATGCATGTAGTCAAGCATGTTATAGGTCTGTTAAAAGGAAGTTATATAAAACGTATTTGTGTTGGTTCAAGCTTAAAGCCCTTCATCTATAAATCATTGTCAAATATAATACAGCATGTGAAAGCAAAGCAAAGGAGTATTTTATATACCCCGTCCTATATAAATATGTCTTAATATTACTACTTTAATGTTACAGTAAGTTTGCTTTGTAATAAACAGGAGAGTCTATATAGCAAATCAACATGACCAAGCAAAAAGTGAGTTACGTTATGACACATGAAATCTGTTTTGTAATCTTTCTTTTGCACACAACCCTCAGAACAAAACAGACCTGGTCCCAGTAACACCATCCCTCTTTTACCCACCAGACCTATTCAACTTATTCAACAATTCCTTGCGGGTGTAATAATCTGAGTCGATCTATAAAAGACTGGACGTAAAATAAAAAAAACAGGAAAATTGATGTTTATGGTTGTGGTTTGGGATCATCTTTAAGTAGAAGGAGCGTAAAGAGGCAGGATTCACTGGAGGGACAGAAGCACTCACCCGGTGAGTACTAATCGTTACACAGACGATTTGTTTTTGAAAAGTTAAGCTCAAAATGTTATAATGCCTTTAAAGCTTTTTTAAACATTTTCTGTGTGTATTGAGGAGTGATGGAACGTAACAAAGTACATTTATGTGATATAAGTACTGTACTGAGGTACTTTTACCACTTCATGCTTATTTATACTGCAGAGCTTCAGTTACTAATTAAGATTTTTCATATAAAACATACTGTATAATCCCCTATTCAATTATAATGTATGCTTGCCTGCTTATATCACATTATTCACTAGTCTATATTATTTAGGACCTAAAATATGGCCATCATGGCTATTATAAGTTTGGGGCTTTTACGCTGTTAGAGACAGAACTGACCAACAATATATAACAGCTACTGTACAGCCTACACTTACACATGAATATATCAGTAAAAAAGAATCCACAAATATAATCTGAATATGAAATTGGCTGTTCTACAGTGATTTTACTTTTTAAACTTAAATTCTTCTTAAATATATAAGATACACTTTTATCTAAGTAATATTTGTAATGCTTGTAACATCTGGATCAAAAAAGACTGTACTTTTTTTTTTACACTGTTTTATTACTCTTACTCAAGTAAATGATCTTTTTTAATCATTCAGACGCTCACATAAACTCACCATGTTCTACTTACGACATCTCCCTCCCAAACTCACAGATACGATGAGGCCGTCTGTGTTTTTCTACCTCACCTACGCACTGTGTGTGTGTTTGGGCCTGCTCTGTCTGCTGTTTGTGACGTACTGGAACTCCCACTGGAGAGGTGGTTTCTCCTGGGATGGCTCAGCTCTGCAGTTCAACTGGCATCCTGTCCTCATGGTGTCTGGGCTGGTGGTTCTGTATGGCAACGGTGAGTTACTAACAGTCAGGCAATAAATCCTGTCTGCGTGAAGGTTATAATGTTCTGTTTTTCTTTTTAATGAAACTGTTTCAGAGAGGTGTTGATTCAGTCGTATGATCAGTTTGGAGGATGTAGTTGGTAGTTTGCAGAGAGATATCTTTAAATTAAATGCAAACAGGAATTTTATGATTAATTATATCCCAATATCTTGGATCATCTGTCAACCACTGACCATACAAAGAAAAAATATTGGCCTTAAAGGTCATTTTTACAGATAACGTTCAGTTATTTGTGAAAACAGTTCAATATCTCCATCTTCTGTCGCTCTGAAGGGAGAAAATAAGCCAGATTCTGTCATCGGGGTTATCTTGGACTGAGACTGAAAATCTTTAACAGAAAGGCTGTGTTATTGATTGGAAGTGTGGTGTTTGAAAGATGTGGGCATTTTGTCAGGCAGAAAGAGTCAAAAGAGAACAGAAGGTGCTTCTGTGCTGCATTAGGACTACTTTAGGATCCAGTGTGTGTGGAGCTTTTTCTGCTTGTTGTGAGTCACCCAACATAACTAAGTGTAGTTCTAAATCACTGGAGTATCCCTTCAACTTTTCTGGGGGAAAGAACTAAAAAAAATATATTTATTAACAACCATATTTCAGTTAATGTTTATGTGTAGATACAGGGATGGATCAATACATTGCACAAATCTATTGCACCGCTATGAATGAATTGATTTCCAGCAATTGTTCAGGGTTTTGTTTAGTAGTGAATCATCATTCCTCGTAGATGTCTCAGCTGAAATGAGTTTTCACTGCGGCCGACTGAGCCTGGAAGTACTGTAACTCAATGAAACTGCTGAAAACTTGTGGATTTGGTTATTATTTTAATAATAATCTATGCAGACACTGAACTCATTACATTTTTCACTGGATGAGTGCATCAACTAGATGATTTGAATGTGAAACGTAAGTGAAAATATCATCTGACTTTTCAGTTTAAAAATTGTAAAATAACAGTGCCAATATCAAGTAAGTATTTAGCGCTTTCAATGAAAAGCAGAAAGTTTGCTTTATTTATTCCTCAACTTTCAGCGGCCGTTGTGTATCGCGCACCATTCACCTGGAAGCAGAAAAAGAACACCTGGAAACTGGTTCATGCTGGACTGATGCTTTTGGCTCTGTTGCTGTCCATCTTGGGCCTGTGTGCCGTGTTTGACTTCCACAGTGGTTCCCACATCCCTGACCTGTACTCTCTGCACAGCTGGGTGGGCATCTGTACCGTGGTAATGTTTACATTCCAGGTATGGATAACAGATATTCACAAAGTACTTATGTCTATGAACCTACTCGTATCAAATGTTTAATTATGAATTATTCTGTAAGAAAACACTGAATCCTTCCCTTGTTGTCATTTCACCATGCTGCTAATAGTGGGTCCTTGGCCTGGCTGGCTTCCTGTTTCCTTGTTCAACAACGTGGTTCCGTAGCACCCTGAAACCAGTCCATGTCTGGATGGGAAAAGCCATCTTGGTCCTCAGTCTGACCTCCTGCATCAGTGGTATCAATGAGAAACTGCTGCTTACTCTGTAAGAGCTCAAATATCCAACAGATCACAACACAGCCAATATCACACATCATTTCACACACACATTAACAAAGCATGATGCAGAAGTTGCACTATAAATCAGTCAGCCAAAAAATCAACCATTCACCAAACTGAACCCATGAACTTAATGTCTCTGTCTGTTGTAGTAACGGAAGCAGCGGTGAACCTTACAACTCACTGCCTGAGGAAGCAAAGTTTGCAAATTCCCTCGGCATCCTCACTGTGGCCTTTGGATTGGTTGTCTTTGGCATCTTGTCTAGAAACAAATGGCAGCGGCCGGACACAGATAGTGAAAGTGTTCACGTAAGTATGGATGCTCGACAATGATCAGATCATCCTTTTGGTTTGAACTGGTATAGACGTGAATTACATATTTTATTTCCTCACTGGGATAAAATGTGTTGTTTTGTATTTTAATTCTCTGTGTGAATTGATAATTGAGATGTCATTTTAATTACAGCTTCTGCTCAATGAAGACAACACATGAGAACACTGGAGACACTGCAGGAAGAAGACATCAATTTGTCATTTAAAGTACACATAATAAACAGGTTTTCATTCCAATTAGATGGAAACTGCATTTGATTTCATTGATTAAATTCACTGACTTGTTTTTATACTTTTATATATTCTATTTCTTCTTCTTTGTAGCTTGATGACTTAAAGCAACATTTGGTGAATCAAGGTTCTTTCTCTTATAGAGAGCTGGATTTTAAATAATTAGGTTTGTATGATTAGTATTTCTAATGTTAAACACTCTACCATTTGGTTTGTTATACAGGTTGAGACAATATTGGAAAGTGAATGAATAAATTGACCCAAAGAGTTACAGCCTACAACAGTTAAAATGTTAATTGAATTGAAAACACCATGCCCTCACACAGATTATACGCACAAAATAAACAATCATTAAATTACAAAAAGCATGAAAAGAAGTAACAGAATACACTTCGCTGACTGCTCTGACATGTTTCACTGTTGCACCTTCTGCTGAGGTATTGATTATTTCTGGATGAGGCCAAGAGAGGTCATCTCCACCACCATTGCACCTTTAGACTCAAAATCAAGCTGAGATTGAGCTACATATCCATTGTGTATATATCCAACCCAACTCCTAGAAATGATCTTACACTACTGGCCCCGCAGGTGAGAATATTATTTTATCTCAGGTATTAATTAGGTAATAGAATCGTGTGGTATTTTATTAACAATGTATAAAGTCTCACAAGTGTCATTTTGGTTGTCATTATAGATGATATAGGTCCCTTTTGTTATTAAACTGATGAACTGGAGCTGCTGCTGTTGTTACAGCCTCAGGCATTACAGGCCCAGACCACTAGAGGTCAGTGTAGTGCAGCAGTAACTCTTATAATGTATCATGTAGATACAGATGGGGAATATAAACTGTATTATTAAGCAAAATTAAGCTGGAAGAAATTCAGTTACATAATGTGCATATACATTTACAGTATCTCCACACACTGCACAGCCAGGATAATCTTTTAGGTACACCATTTACTTTTTGACATATTCTCCTCTGTGTAAATAAGAGTGAAAAATAATAAAAAAAGTTCATAATAATAAAAACAAATAATCCATAATAAAAGAAAAATGATATTCTTTATTGTTGTAGCACCTATCCCGGACTGTGAGGGGCAGTATTACATCGTCCCCAAATCAACAGACGAAGAAGAAACGCGTTTCCTGTAAGGTCAAAGGTTCAACCCCTTAGCTTGTCACAACAACCAGCTAGCATTGCAGCTACCCGAAAACACCATTTTCTCTGTCAGGATGGATGTAAATCAGGCGAAACAGGAACACCTACTCGCATTAAAAGGTATTTGTATCGCCATCGCCACAACACACAGCTCGTCATATCCGGACGCTGCTTTAAGGCTAAAAACCGGCTGTCGGACATTTGTTGTTATAAGCTGCTAATAGCGCTAGTTAGCGAGCTGAAAACAGTGTCAAACTTTTAGAGTCGGTTATATACAACATACAGACTGCTGGTGACAGTTGTAACATTAAAAAAAATCTGTATTTATTATTCTTTTAGCTGAGAGACACTACCAATGTTTTCTTCCCAGGATTGTGTCAGCGAGGTTGTTTGTTGCTGTTGTGTTGTCAGCTCACTTGCTTTGTTGTCTTTTCGGTGAGCTGTTGTGTTATTGTGTTTGTTGTCTGTCTGTGAATGTGTTCTGGCCACTGCCAAGAGCTACTGACAGTCACACCATGTGTCAGGAAGCTGCTGCAGTCGGTAAAACCTCATTCTGCTCCTGATGACAGTTCATGTGGTTCATAATGGAAGAGTCATCACTGCACCATGGGTTGTTGTTGTTGTTGTTGTTGTTTGCTAAAAGCTGTGTGCTATTTGTGTGTGCCACCTAGAAAACAAATTTACAGTAAAGGTTATTTATGTGTTACAACCCAACACTGCAGTAGATGATCTGTTGTAATTGTATACTGACATAAAACCTTGCATGCGATTGCTGTGTAATACTGAAGTTACTGGCACTAGGGTGTGGTCGATTCAGAGGTAGAGGTTACTTTAAAGTCCCCACTGTAACTGACCTACTTGTGTGTCCGATCACTAACCAGTGTCGCTTTGTTTTGCAGTGATGCGGTTAACAAAACCGACACTCTTCACAAACTTGCCAGTCACGTGTGAAGATCGAGATCTGCCAGGTAAGCCTGTTAAACCCAGAGTCCCGAAGACAGACTCGTTAGAATTGAATTCCCACAGATCTACAGCAGAACAGAAGGAGGAATGATATCTATTTGTCCAGCAACTAGCAGGTGGATAGTCATTTTAAGATGCATGGTTAGATCAGGTAACCTGCATGTCTTGGGACTGTGGGAGGAAACCGGAGAGCACCTGTTGGAAACCTAAGCAGTCATGGGGAGAGAAAGGTTCCAGTCAGCCGGCTCAGGTTCAAACCCTGGATCTTTTTGCTTTAAGGTCACATTAAAGATTACAGTGGAGAAAACCTCAGCATAACAATTCTGTGTCATTTCTTGCCATTTGTCTTTTTGAATAAATCGTCCCCACAACCAAGTTCTTCCTTCATTTTTTTTTTAAACTACGTCTTTTTGCACGCAACAACGAAGCAGTTTAAAAGGCTCTCCGCCCACGTTATGTAATCCCAGTGAATTCAGTCCATGGCTGTGATTGAGAAACTGACAGAGACTTTGTAAAGTTGCTTCAGAACACCAACATCAAATTAAAATACAAGTGCTCCCATTTTTGAGAAGTTCATATCAACATTTCATAATAACGGGCACAATGGGAAACAACATGAGAACCGAGACCAGGCTTGAGTGGATGTCTTGCTTCCACTTTTTTTTTTTTTTGTGTGTGTCTGAGAAAAATAACTTCTGTTTTTTTTCCCCCCAGTGTTCCTCTCACAAAACTCCCAAACCAATAGCTAACATTCTCTGTGGTTGTGTTTTGATTTAACATTTAACATCTCACTCAAGAAAGCAGACCACATTCCATGTGTGTTATGTGGGAAAAGTTTATTTGAGGCAACAATAGCAAATATTTTAAAATTCAGAAAACCTCATTAAAGAGGCCATAGGGAATGCAGGAAAGGGACAAAAAGTGAAATGCCTGCAATGATGAGCTAATGTAAGTGTGCTGAAGTGTCAAGGATGTAATGTCTGTAGCATTTTTATGAGAATCTTTCTAAATGTGTTATTCATTTACTTCTACAGTGTTAAAATGCCATGCACTGTGTAATGTAGATAAACATTGTAATGTATTATAGATTTACAGTCCCAGTTTTAGATGGCAACCCCACAGAGAGTTTCGGTGTTTGTTTTCCCCTCTGTCCGTGTACAGCACAGAGAAACGTGTTAGCTGCACTGGTAACTGAACTCCATATATACCATAAATCACGCTGACACTTCTAGGTAGGATTGCTATTTATGTAAGAGTAGCAGTGAAGTGTTGGCATATTTCCAAGTGCACAAAGATGAATTGGTTGAATTGGACATTAGAAACATAAAACCATTTGCCCGTTTTGCTCTTGTGTTTCCACTTTAACTCCTGCACTCAATGCAGAATCTTCTATATTGGTCGTATTGTTGTTATTAATGATAGAGGTAGGTATATTAGTGGAAGTCATAGTAGAATGAGTGGTATTATTAATATTAGTCAGTGATGATCACAGTGTAAGATGTATGTGACCAAATTGTTGGGCAGTGGGACAGAAATGAACCCAATAAAAACTCTTCTGGTTCAGGCTGCTTTGAAACCTGATCTTCAAAGCTCCTTTCTCTCTGTGATCCTCCCTGCAGTTCACAGAAACACTTGTATTAAACCTTACAGTGTCCACATCTTCTATAGCTACACAGTCCGCAGGTTTTATAAAACCTACGGGCACATTAGTACTAACTGTGATTTTGGCAGTTAAAAATTGGAAACAAACTCGAGTTTCATTTTAGTTACAAATTTGCAACAACTTGCATGTGAATACATTATTGTGATGTTGTAGTTCATTACAGAACTATGGTACTTGCGTTAGCCAACTGGGATTGAACAGGCGTGTCGGGTATTGTGACCAAGATCTTAAGGTTGTGTGTAGGTAAGACAGAATGGACTCTGAATGTTGTTGGTATGAATAGTTCCCTGGCTTAAATAACTTCTGTCTTTAATACAGGTGTTTTGATTCTTCCTGGCAACAAACAAGTGTTGTGTCCAGTGCATTAACAGATTAACACATACTTCTTGGGTTTTTCCCCGTGTAGGAGATTTGTTCGGTCAGCTCATGAGGGAGGACCCGTCCACCATCAAAGGAGCGGAGATTTTAATGCTCGGAGAGATGCTTACATTACCACAGAACTTCGGGTAATAAACGCTCATTTTCTGTAGGAGAGTGTAACCATTAACACTATGTACTTTTTGTGGATCTAACTTTTGTTTTAAAGTTTAAAGATCTGACTTTTTCCACGTCTCTGCTCTACACAGAAATATTTTCCTCGGCGAGACCTTCTCCAGTTACATCAGTGTGCACAATGATAGCAACCAAGTTGTGAAGGACATTCTTGTGAAGGTGCTGTGAAAAAAAAAAAAGAAATAATAATAAGAAATACCCATCCAACACTTATTTCACCCTTTACACTCCTGTTTTACCCATAATTCTCCTGCTGTGTGATGTGATCCTGTACAGGCTGATCTACAGACCAGCTCACAGAGGCTCAACCTCTCGGCGTCAAACTCTGCAGTATCAGAACTTAAACCTGAATGTTGCATTGATGACGTTATCCACCACGAGGTCAAAGAAATTGGAACCCACATGTGAGTGTTTTTCCCTTATTTTGTTATAGCGCCTCATAGTGTCACCAAAACCCAAAATATCTTCCCAACTGACCAATCGGAGAAGCAATCTCTTCATGGATAAGAAATGTGTTGTTGTATTTTTTGCATTTTTGAAATGTTTGTTTCCTCTCCTCCAATTTCCAGCTTAGTCTGTGCTGTCAGTTACACCACTCAGTATGGGGAGAAGCTCTATTTTCGGAAGTTCTTCAAATTCCAGGTGAGTTATATTTGAGCACTGTCATTAGACGGCAGGGGTTAACTCAAGAGTAAGCTTGGAGGAGGCCTGAGGAATGTCAC